CAGTTTTGTACTTAACCTTGAATTTGTTTTTCCCTTCCATCATTCGCAACCACCCACTCTCATGGTTATATCCTTGGCTTTGTCAGCCTCAGGGAAAAAAACACCTCTGAAATCTTTATACTTCAAGCACCCCATGTTCCGCTCACCAACTCTGGTGCTACAACTCAGCAGTTCTTCCATCTTCTTGAGACCTTTAGACCAGTGACTGTATCACTTATTCACCATTCATCACCCTCCCTGTCTTCACTTCCCTCCTTACCCAGTCTAGAATCAATAACATATATAATCATGTCTCTTGAAAGTGCCACGGTTCTTTAGCTTCCCTGAGACTCGATTGACAAAACTCTATCACTGCTTAAATTCCACTATCTCCTTGCTCTATGACTGTACTCAAACATCTGAAAAATACACCAGGTTGACTGTTACCATTTTAAACGTATGCCAAAAATCTCAAACATAATAAGACCTACTCAGCAATCCTCTTCAGCTGCTCTGCAATGTTCTTTCCAAAATTACTCTCTTATCCCTTCTCAAAACTTCTCCCTGCTTTCTCCCAAACATCCCCCTCAGCATCAACATGCTAAAACATCTGCTATCTTGAAAACAAATACTCTCTCATCTCCATAACTTTCCTCCCTTTCTTTCTCTTAACCTATCCTCTTTGGATTGGTGCCCCTATCACTCTGATGCGTCTCTACTTGCAAAGGTTTCTAATAAACTCTTGTTTGCCTTATTCACTGGTCATTCTCTGTCATATCTTATCTGACCTCCCAGAAGCAATGGAGACATTAGACACAACTGAAACTCCTTCCTCCATGACGTTTCTTCTTTCTCAGGTTTGAGACATCTTGATCTCTTGCTTTTCCTCCTGCCTCCCTGGCCTCTCCTTAACGGTCTTCTCTGCCAAATCGTCTCCTCAGCCTGACCTCTAACATGCTGGTGTGTCCACAGTTCAGGGCTCTTCTTTCTATGTATACCCAAGGCAATCTTCTCTGGTCATCTGTAATTTCATATGACCCCAGTGCCAGCCTCTCCCCTCAAACTCCAGGTTGTTTGCTCAACATCAAAACATCAGCAAGTTCAGCCAACTCTACCTTCCAGAATACCCACAATGTGCCACATTGCTTCCACCTCTCTTGTTGCCACACCAATCGGAGCCACTGTGTTTACCTACCTATATTATTGTAGTGACCACCCAACCCATCACTAGGGTTACTTCCTTACCTCCCTACAGCAGCTAGAACAATCCTTTCAAAATGAAATAGAACCACACTATTTTTCTGCTTTTCTCCAGGGGATTTTTTAAAAAAATCACATCCAGAATAAAATAGAAACTCTTTTTTCCAGCTCAAAATATTTTACAATATCTGGCCTCAGATCGCATGCACTTGATCTCTGCTCCTACCACCTCCACAAGTCTACAGCCAGATTGGCCCCATTTCTGTTCCTGAATATGCTAAGTTCATTCATGCTTTTGAGTGTTGGCACTGGCTGTTCTGTCTCCCTAGAATGTTCTCTCCTCTGATCTTTATATGGCTGGCAACTTGTCATTAAGATCTAAGCTTAGGTGTTCATAATTCTTAGGAAACACAACTATGAGAAATGAGTTATTCAAGTTCTCAAATTTGCTGGATGCTTTACCAACTGAAAATAAACATAGGTAAGTTTTTTGTGCTCTAAATACTGCTTCAACACTTTTACTTTTGAAAAATTTTTAATTCAAGAACTTAAATATACTTCATTAAATTGTCAGGTAAATATAGAAAGTGGTACTAGAAATTGCACCTACCAGTGACCAAAGAACCATTAAGAAAATAGTTCTTTGTTGCCAGGTCTTGCTGTGTGACTGTGGGCCAGGTGCCCCAGCTTTGTGAATAGAGTTTCCCCACCATGAAGCAGGTGCAATTATCCCTTACTTAAGACAAGGAATGTTCGTGTGTGTGCAGGTGTTTGTATGTTTATTAAGAAAAGAATTAAATATATGGGTCAAATCTGTGAAATCTGTGTGGCACTTCACTCACCCGCATGCAATCTCTCCTGGAGAAATGCACGAACAGGGAACATGTATTCAACAATGCTTCTCAGGTTTTTTTTCTTAAGCTTGTAAGTGCTCTTTATGGGGGTGTGTACTAGAGCATGTTTATACGATTCCCTGTGAAGACAGATTTAAAATATGGCTGGTTTCACAAATAAACTGATGGAGAAAGGATTCAGAAACAAGAGGAGAGGAAGCAGAGGAGCAGTGAGGTGGGGGAGCATGGCCTTGAGGGTGGGTGGGTGTGCTCTGGGCTGGGTAGCATGGTGTTTGGGATTTCTGGCCTAGTAAACACTAGTACAGTAAATGCTAGTAGCAACCACTCGTGCGCCCCAGTCATTGTGCCAGCCACAAATGTCCACACATTTGTGATCACTCCCCTGGAGTGCTAGAAAAAGAATGAATGGCATAGCCATTATCTTTGCTGCTTTATATTTTACAGCAAATGTACTTTCAGTATGAAATTTGCTACAGCCAATTCATATAGCACTTTTACCCACAATATTTTTACATTATGTTAATAGCCTTGTAGTTTAATGCCTTTGTGACTTACAAGCTAATTCTGGAACACATCAAGTATGTAAAGTGAAGGATAGATGTATGGGGATCTAAACCTACCGGATGGAATTAGAGAGACAGAGAGATCCTTTGACAAGCAGTTTGGAGACAAAGAGCCGTATCAATGTTCACCAATAAAACTACTGCAGTGGAGGTCATTACCCTCCTTCTGCCTACTTCTGAGAGTACAAGTGAATCAGGGTATCTCTGTTTTCTTGAAAGGGTGAATTTAGGAAGTCAAGTAAATGACTTCCCTAGAAATGACTGGGAAGACGTTATCCTGGTCTGAATTTATGCTCTGCAAGGACACTATCCCCAATGTAGTAAATAACTTTTAAAACAACTCCCAGTGATTCCTGCCTCCAGGTAGCCACAGCCTTTGGTAATCTCCTTTCCTTGGTGTGGGATGAACCTAGTGACTTGATTCCAATGAATAAAATATGGGAAAAATGATGGCATATCATTTCAAGATTCAGTTTGAAAGCTGTGACTTCTGTCTCATGCTTTCTCTCCCTCCCTGGTTTTTCTCAATGTGCTTGCTCTCATGAGGTAAACTGCCATGTTGTTAGCTGCCTTTTGGAAAGGGCCATTTGTCAAGAAACTGAGGGGAGTCCACAGCCTGAAGTTCTCAGTCCAAGCAGCCAAGAAGAATACTACCAACCATGCTATGAATGAGCTTAGATAAGAATCTATCCCTAGCCGAGACCATTATTACCGCCCATGAGAGACACTTGTCAGAAGACCCAGCTAAACCATGCCCGACTCACAGAAAGTGTGAGATAATAAACGCTTGTTTTAAGTCACTAAGTTGTAGAATAATTAGTTACACCACATTAGATAACTAATAAACCTAGTCTACTCTGAATTATAGGAAACACTCACCTGTGGTATGATTCATGGTTTAGAGCCTTCAATAATGAAAAGCACTCAGATTTGTATATTTGAATAAGTAGTGAGTCAGGGCAGAATGCAAAACATCTCTAAACATCTCTATCAGGAAACAAACAAAAAAATCCCAACCACCACAAATCATCATTTGGCAGGATGGCATAGAAGACAGAACATCTACAGGCATAAGTTGCATATTCAGATCACTAATTATACAAATTTGAGCAAATTACATAATTTCTCTGGGATTCAGTTTCTTCATGAAAAAGATGGAGATGGGACTGGGCTACACTCTGAGAACTGCTAACATTCTATGACACTAATCTGAGGAACTCAGGAAGGCCCCAATCTCTTTTCATTACCTGGAAACTCCATCATTAGGAAATTGTTCCTTAGTGCTTATAGGGAAATTACTGCTTAAGGAGAGACAGAGAGGAAATTCTATATGTACCTTTAAGAATAATGCAGAGAGGGTGGGGTCTTGTGCTGCTATGAAGCAGATCAAGGGTGGTAGTAATAGTAACAAAGGTAAGCATGATTAATTTCACAATTGAGGACCTAGGAGGTTTCCACCTTTCTGATACATGTGATCTCTACAATTAGTCACATTTCCCCTCTTCTCTTGAGTTCAAGGAAGCTTAGAGCAAACTCAAGTTCAGTCGTAGCCACTGCATTAAATTTTATGGTTCCCAGATTTGTTTGCTTTTTTTTCCCTGTCTCAGTTTTTCTACTTCTATTTTATCACATGTGTCTTGTTGAGCCACTTCCTTTATGGAAAAGATTGAAAGCATAAATACATGTAATAAAGACAAACATACATGCTTGAATTTTTTTTCTCTAATTGTGACAATATCTGGAGATACACTTCTATCCTTATTGTTAATTTTCAAAATTTAAGGTTAATTGGGCTTTGGTTAATTTGGGACAAATATTTAAATCAGCAGAATAATTGGAAAAGTTAGCATAAATTGGTAGATGAATGGATAAAGAAGATGTGGTACATATGCACAATGGAATATTATTCAGCCATAAGAAGAAAATAAATCCTACCATTTGTAACAACATGGATTCAGCTAGAGAGTATTATGTTCAGTGAAATAAGCCAGGTGGAGAAAGACAAGTATCAAATGATTTCACTCATCTGTGGAGTATAAGAACAAAGCAAAAACTGAAGGAACAAAACAGCAGCAGAATCACAGAACACAAGAATGAACTAACAGTTACCAAAGGGAAAGGGACTGGGGAGGATGGGTGGGAAGGAAGGGATAAGGGGATTAAGGGGCATTATGATAAGCACACATAATGTAGGGAGTGTGGCACAGGGAAGGCAGTATAGCACAGAGAAGACAGGTAGTGATTCTATAGCATCTTACTACACTGATGGACAGTGACTGTAATGGGGTATGTGGTGGGGACTTGATAAAGGGGGGAATCTAGTAACCACAATATTGCTCATGTAATAATGATACCAAAAAAAAGTTAGCATAAATTGGAAAAAATTAAAGACAACACAAATTGCAACAATATTTGTACCATTTTTATTTGTAAAAATATCCATCTGAATGCATTTCCAAAGTATATTACAGTTAAGTACTTAATTACATTATTAGCATTCAGTAGTTGAAAAAGTATTAAACTGTGCTTAAGTAGATTCAGACTGGTTGAAAGTCATTCACTGAACTAAAAGTCATTTTCCTCATTTTTACAGTCATGACATTTACCAGAGTCATTCAACTCCAATTTACATAAGAAAACATTACAGACAAAATCCCACTGAAATCATCAAACAATATTTTATGCTGTTACAAATATGTTATGCAAAATATAACACTGGCACCAGATTTGTATCATCGTGCTTTGCAAAGATATATTGCACATGCTAAAGCATAAAATATGTAGACAAAACTACCAAAGAAAAGATATTTGCATTGAATTTTTAGATCACTGCATAAGAAATGCAGAGAATTACAGTTTTTACACACACTCAGATTGTCACTATCTTAAAACGCTTTTCCCCTATAACACTGACCTATGGTTTACAGTTTTGTAAGAAGAAAGCATTTTAGCACTGCAAAATCAAACATAATTCCTATAGAAAACTTCAGCATTTCTGTTTTCATTTCAAAGCAGGTAAAAGGGAAAATAGGAAAGAAAGACACTTTATACATTCAAAGAAAGACTGAAATGAAAACTCACTGGCATTATATTGCTCTGATAACACTCAAATGAAAAAATACAAAACATTTCACAGAACATTTTCAGAATATACAAATATAAAAAGGCACTCTAACTTCATATTACAAGACAAAAAAGGGATGAGTTCTTCAACCAACAACAGATAAGCAAACCAAGTTGCTCAACAGTACAAAGAATAGCTAGTGCAGCAAATCCATTTGATGTTCTCATTCTAGTTTAATAACAAAATAATAAATCAAGCAGCTATTTACTGCCTAAAGTACCAGAACATACTACGGTGCCCTTTTAGTAGTGATAAAAAGAAATCCCCTGAGCTATTTACTGTAGAATCATAGCAGATTTTAGGCAATTTGGAGATAGTAATGTATTTACCAAGGATAGGCAGACACGGCGAATAGGTAAGTGCAATGAAACATGATCCCTGTGGCTGTGGCTAAGATGTAGTCTGAAAATAATACATTTAGGTAAACGCGCTCAGCAACTAAGACTCAATTAAAAGCACAATGTTTTCTGTTTGTTTTTTCCCCCTTAGAAAGATATGCTGGAAATCTAGTTTTATCTCTAAGGATGTCCTTGGAAAACATAGAATTCATAGTTTTTAAAGTCATTTTGCTAAGGAAAAAATGTGATCTGGCGGGGAGGGAGAAATAGGAAGAGAGAGGAAGGGAGATTGATTCAATAACAGTTCGCAGTGAGCATGATTTCATTGTTCCTTTGTCCTTCCTTCTATCGGTGAGGGGGGGGTGGGTGGCGGGGAGTCAAACGGCAGTTCCATGGAGATAATGCCGTGCCGAGTCACTGCTTTGCTGCAGCGTCCCTCTTCTCTGTGCTGCTCTACAGGAGAAATGTTAACGCTGCTTCACCATTAAAGCAGGCATGGCATTTCGTTTCCTGCTTTAAATACCAACTGAGCAAGATTTCCATTTGCTTTCAGAAATAGACACCACAGTATACTGTGCTTCTTCAGTGTCAGATCTCCCTTATTTTCACTGTTGTGGCAAAGATAAGGTCCTTATTGCTCATCAGTCGATTTATCTACTTTTCAAAAATCCACCTTCTTGAAACAAAAAAGGACAGAGGAAGAAGGGGAACACAACACCAAGAATTAAAAACACAAGGTGGGTGGCGTCAAAAATTTTCAGTGAGATTAATACAAATCTGTAAGTCTTTTGAAGAGGTTCTCATTTGTGAAGACCCCAACATGAGCTTTTAATTAAATCCAGGATATTAAAAGAGTTAAGATTAAAGTCTTTTACAGCTAGATGAAACATATAATATATATCTGTATTTTATCCAGATATGGTACAACACTGTTTTAAAAATAGCTCACAAACACTGTAAAACAGAAATGTCCAGGGTGAAAATGGAATGGATTATATAATGTCAGAGAACACTCACATAATGTAACACGTTTCCTTCCTGTGTCTTGCTAACATGGAAAATAGCACTTGAGCTGGCGGTTTTTCTTTCTCCTTTTGTAATATGCCCACACACTGACATAATTTCCCATTAGGTTATCAGGACCATTTTGGGGTATTTAGGATAATTTCTGTATCTTTTGTTGGACCATATGATCCACTACGCACTTCAGGTTTCATCTCGCAGAAGGGCATAAGGACTGATGAGTCTTGTGAGCTCCAAGCTGGCTACAGACTAGGGCTGAGCCACAGATGTTGCACCTCTCTCCAAACAAGGAGGAAGAACCTGGGGGTCTGGTCGGCTGGAAACTTCAGCGGTGGAAGCGCTGGGCTTGGCCCTGGGACTGCTGGCTAGTCCAGGGAGTGTCCTGGATGTTTTTCTGCTTTTTTTGTTATTCCAAGTAAGACACATAGCAATTAAAACAGAGAACAAACAATGGATGTTTCCTCGGCTGTGGTTTCATTTCAAATAAATATAAACAGATTTACATCAAAAGTATATGAACAGTTTCTCTAGTTTGGCAAAAAAAATAAGCTGCGATCAACACATCCTCAGTTACAAATGTTTTGCCATCAACTAGAAATCTGTGTCATTAGAAATATAAAATACAACAAAAACTGTTACACAAAAAGATTATATTTTAACTCCATAGAAAAGCTACTTCAGTTCTCATTTCCATTTTGAAGGAAAACAATTTAAGATCTTCCATTTTGGACCAAAGCATTCGGGTCCTCATACATAGCTGATCGATGAACTACAGACATATACATATGTATATATAATGTATACACACATGTATGTGTGTATATGTATGTGCATAATTTTTAGAGTCTCATTCTTCTTTTTGTCCAGCTATTCCAGGAGCAGAACGGGGTCCATTTGACCTAGAAGCTTTGGCAGAGGGAGCAGACACAGTATTCACTATGTTGATTTCATCATCAGACAACCATCAACTGGCTTGAATTTCCACATCACCCATTTCTCTCTCCTGCTTTCACTGTCTTCCTTGCCTTTTGCAGTCACATTCCCACTCACCTGGCATTACCTGGACTGAGAAACTTATCTAATATTTTACTATTGGTGAACAATGCTGGTGGTTTTGATGTTTTTTAAAAGTTATTATTTTGATTTAAGAAGAAATCAATAAGGGTAGTTTCATATTAAATTTGCATATGTCTCAAAGTTTGGTGCAATATAATTTTCACCTAAAATGTTAGTAGATTTAGACTTAATCACTTGGGTGAAACTTAGTCACAGGCTTGTTATAGGGAGCACTGAATGCCATATTTGTGTTAAATGAGAAAAGCAAGGTCACGTTTCAACCAATTTTAACAAAATCCTTGGAATGAAGTTCGGGATATTTAATGCTTACTATAGAGAGGATATGAATAATTGGACTCCCTTAAAAAGATTATTACAGGCATTATTTCTGAAAATGAACACCTTTACCTTTGGCTTCTAGTGAGGAAGTAAACATCAAAGTGAGAAGAGATTTGAGGCATTTTCTATCGACCTCTTCCCTCCCCTCCCAGGGGACAATGAATGTCATATTGATAAACTGAGAACTCAGTGCTGAGTGAATACATGAAAAATAAAATCTTTATAGAGAACAGCTCCCTCTCAGTTGCATTATCCTCAAAGAAAAAGAATTAAATGCATTTTTTTATCCCTTACTTAAAATAAGAGGTAGGCTTTCACGGAAGTATCTCAGAGCTAAAGAAACCATGAAACAAATAAAAATCGGGTCCCACCTCGGTGCTTTGCCCTACAGCCTAGCTGCCATCCCTACATTTGATTAATTCCTTTTTACTGGCTTCTGGAAGGTTGGGCCCATAATAATACTTGAACACAGCATAAACCTGGAATACAAGCTTCTTTCCTCCAACATGGGTAGTCAAGGAGAAGTTCCTACAGTCCAAAGTCAAAACGTTTCCGAATCAGAATCATTGTCATTGTACCCATCCTCGGAGCCTACGGTGTTCCTGCACAGGCTAACCATACTACCCAGACTGGAGAGAGTCGTCCTGCTCAAATTGTCTTTTTTAAAACAAACGAAGTTGACAGCCGTCATTGTGCTGGAAGGAGAAAAAGGCATCATGGTAGCCAAAATGAGGGCCAGGCAGTCAGCCACGTCTTTGTTAGGAGCGCAAGCCAGGGCCGGGGTATGACCTGGGCGTAAACGCAGACAAGGCAGTGGTTAGTCTGGGCAATCCAGAGGCGGCGTGAGCATTCCACAGTACATCTCGTATGACCTCACGCGGGGAGATGCATGTTGAGTTAGAAATCATGCCAGGCACAAGGAGGAGTTACTTCCCACAAGTCATGCTAGGGGTGAGGCTAGAGGGGACTGGGACGGGGTGGCATTTTCAGAAGCGTTTTTCAGCTTACATGACAACAAGCACTATATTAACTGAAGTTAGGCAGAATTCTCATTTTCATCTAGTGAAAAGAAACATGAGGGGTTGGGGGTGGGACACAATTCCACAAAAAACTAGCAACAGGACAACCAGGAAGGAGTTTCCACTTGAGAGCACAGGCATACCATGGGCCTCAGGCTCCGGCCAGAGCACTCTCATTCTGAGAACAATGACTTTTCAGAGCGGGTAATTGTGTCAGATTAGAGAAGATATTAAAAATCAGATAGATCTCTGTGAAAGTGAGTAACGCAGCTTTGTCACTTTATACATACTTATATAAACTATGCACCATTTAACTGGTTCAAAAGCACTAGCTGTTTGTAATTAAAAATTTACTATCATTTAAGATAAATTTAACAGAATTTCAAAAAAACAGCGATACAACACCAATCAAATTCTCAAATCCTAAATGTAACAGATGTGGGAAAATTATCATTGAGTCGTGATACCATTTAGATTTTATGGGTCCAATCCAGATGAGAAAACTATCTCAATACATGGAACAGGTGCATGGGGAAGTAGGTAATTTCATTGATTTAACTATTAACCTAATCCAACTTTAAGTCTACAGGCTTGAAAGGCTCAGCCTGCCTTCTGTGCTAGAAAAGTTCTTACTACTGTTTACTCATTTATTCAAAGGAACTGGCTCAATATAACTCAACAAATGTTAGTTTTGTTTATCAGCACTTGACCCTTGGCTCCCCCAGATTATTCCTCTTTCTGGTATGAAAACAAATAATGGACAGGTATCTCAACATTCCATTCCACAAAAGTCTATGATGACTAAAGAATTTATAATTGTAGTGCTGTACAAAATTGCCCCAAAAGTTCCCAAGCCTTTGGGATGCAGCTAGCTAGGCTCTGAGAAAGGCCACAGTTCCACTGACCCGGGGCTCTTGCTCCCAAGATCATTACTGGCTGGACAGTCTCAGACACTGCAGACTGATACCGCAGAAAGGCAAAATTAATTTATTCTCATTTCTTTGGTCATGCTGGAAAAAAATATAACCTAAGATATATAATGGTGGTAAGAGGGTGAGAGAAGGAGAGGAGGGAAAACCAAGAAGATGGAATAATAGAAAACGTTCTGCACCTCCTAGACAGTCAGGTTGGGGACAGAGCAGGACACATGCTAGGGTAGGTGGGGCTGCAAAACCATAACTAACAGGAGTTAGCTAATGATGTCATATGGCTGCTTACTTCTGAGAAATAGGCATGAGCTGCTAATTCCAATACCTGTAATAAGCAGTTAATTGAGTTATATTAATACATTTAATTATATTTGCCACAATTAATGCCACATTTAAAAAATTACTTCATTTGCAAATATCCAGAAGTCCCTCTTTTGCTCCCTAAAGTCAATAGGCATTTTGCTCAAAATGGTAGTTTAATTCAATTCTAGTATTCACTAGCTTTCAAAATTTCTTAGGAAGCAGAGTAGACAGTTTCTGCTAAGAGTTAGTTCATTTAGAAAAGGAACATTATATAGATCAAGAGATGCTTTCAAACCCAGAAATTAATTTAAAAATTTTATTCATGTTCCCCAAATACCCATACTGAGAACATGAGTTCTGATTTGTTCTTTAAAAAAAAGTTTGATCTCAGAATGAACTTAAATACAAAGACCTATGTTTTTATTTGAACCCTTGAGCATGCACTAATGACACGAGTAATCCCTAACTCACCAGCATGTGCAGTTAGAATTTCAAATGCAAATTTGAAAGCTTTTTACTGTGTTTAAAATATTTCAACTACCATGCTGAGGAGTTAGAGAGCAGCTGCTGACATTACATGCAAAATGGAAGGCACTGGTGGGCTACAGGTAGGCTATGTGTTTTACAAAGACAGACAGGACGAATTATCTTTGTTTGATTTCTCACACACAGGGAACTTTAAAAAGGGAGAGAATTCTTACTGCCTTTTTAACTAGCTCCTATCTTTTTCATTTTCCTCTGGCTGCACAGCATAGGGACGGTACCTGTAGTCATAGTTTATTTTTTCCACTTACCATTTTCATCTACAGCGAGTACACAGGCCCCTTTGGCCAGCAACTCCTCAACCACCACCTTCAAGCCATTTCGTGCAGCAACGTGGAGGGGTCTGAAAAAAAGATAATACTGAGCGTCAACTGTGGTACATATTTGGGTGAGAATATGTCATTTGGGGTAGCCCATATTGCTAAAAGGAAGAAAGTACTTAAGAATCTATAAATAGCACATAAATATTTTTACCTTCTTAAAAAAAGACATTTGTTGACCAGACCTTTTCCAGGTACTAATGATCCAACTGTTCTTGCATGTTGACCCAGATTTCTCTGCAGATATTAAAAAATACTATGCATCTCAAACAACCTCACTGACAGTGAATAGGAAGTCAGAGGAAGAACTCAAGCTCTGGGTGTGTTTTCTAGAAGGTTCTTTACAGTTACTTTCTACTCTAGCATTTGAATCATTTGACACAGTTCACCAACATGACTGGTATTAATATCAACCATATATATAATTTCAAACATTCTTGTTATTAGTAAATATACTAAATAATATTTTACTGAATATAGAATACCTTAAAGAGTAATATCAAACCCAATATAATCTCCTATATACTATTTAAGCATCTTAATGAAAAAAAATCCTAATATTCCTTTGCTCTGAAAACAAATGCATAAGTCATTTCCTAAAATGGAAAATGAGTCAGCTTTTAGGTCTTTCACACTAAGAATTACACTGAATTATATTAAAATATAATTAAGACAAACAGCTTAGAAATTCTTCAAATGTATTCTGGGAATCTGATTTATAAAACTGTTGTTTTTCAGTATGAATACATAATGTTTATACATTCATACAGTTTCCCTGAATATGGTAGCCCATAAAATATTCTACCAGCCCACTGAATTTAGAATTACGACAGAAATATCAACAAAGAAAAACACAGACCTCACAAAATTCTGTGAAGGCTTATGAAAATAAAGATTCTAGCTAAAAATGTCTATCCTTGTTAACATCTGCAGGTATGTGACTGTAAACTTGATAAAGGAGAAGCCAGGTCTGTGTCTTTCACCACTATGTTTGCTAGCACTAGCCTGGCACAGAGGAAGCTTTAATATTTGTTGAATAAAATGACTATGAATCTGGGTCCAAGTCAAACTTCAGCAGTCATACTTACGTCTGCAGTGCATTATTTTTGGCATTAATAAGGCTCTCATCTTGTATCTTGTCAAGTATTAACAAGGCACATTTTTCATGACCCTAGAGAAAAAAAAAATGATAAGAAACACAGGATGGAAAGACAGAAAAGTTCCTGAAAAATTACTTCATTATGCTTTCAATGTCCTCTACCTGAAAACATTTTATAAGGCTATTTTCTAAGTAATTCCTTTTTCTTCTAAAGAGCAAATGGTTAAAGGGGCCTAGATTCTCAAAGATTTTGAATAAGGTTTATGAGTCCTCGGTTAATATAAATCTGATCAAAAATATTAATATTTCTAAGGTAACTTCAGAATTAATGTCCAGAAAGTTAAGCAGAGGCTAGTTCAGCTAGGTCAGTTGGTAAACAGAGAACAGAATTAGGAGTATCCTTTAAATCCTTCAACATTACTTTTAAACATAAGACAAGCCCCATCTCCTTCCTCAAGCCTCCAATCACCATTTCAGTGATCCATCTATCCTGGGGATTCCCATTATACCTGCTATCTGTATTATCATCATTATTTACTGCCTTATATTGTGAAGAATTCTGTTTTAGGAAAGTTCATTCTTTCGTGCCTCAACCAGAGAACGATATCTATCTTATGACAGTAGGTAGTTGATAATTTTAAAAATGAGTTGATAAGTCAGAGACCCTTTCTCGATTTCAGGCCTCTGCCCTGATAAGGGGTCATGACTTCCTAAATCCTTGCTACTCAGTGCGATTGCAGACAGGCATTATCAGTGTCACCTGGGAGTGAGAAATGTTGACTCTCAGGTCCTACTCCACACCTACTAAATCAAAATCTGCATTTTAAGTAGATGCTCCGATGATTCCTTTACACAAAGAATTTGAAAAGCACAGCACTTATTTTCACAAAAAACATGACATCTTGACACAAATTTCATGAAATTGGTGGTTTCCATGGGCTTCCAGAACATGAAATGAGAAAATACAACCAATAAAAGGAATAGCTAAGACTTCTGGTCCACTGGGTACAGAAAACACCTGTGATACTCTACATTTAAATAAAGCACCAGAACTGGTGTCAGTGACATCATACTATAATGCCTTATAAGGGAGACCTTTAAATATAATTTTAGTGTTAATAAAGTTTCATGCAGATGCACTGTTGGTGAAGTACAAACAGCTATGGCCTCACTGGAGGGTGGTTTGGTCTTTAAAAAGTTCATAGCCTTAGACTCAAGAATTTCACATTTAGGAATTTATTGTAAAAGAATGAGTAAGGATGTTTAAGAACAGATTTCTCCATAGTTAGCTTTATTTACAGTAACACATATCTGAAAATGAGCAAATGTCTAACAATAGAAGATGGGTTAAATAAAGGATGGTGTATTCCTAAGGGGAATACCACGCATCTTCTAAAACACGATACAACATAACATCTAAAAGAAGATATTCATAATACATGATTCAGTAAAAAAAGGTTTTAAAACAGTATGATCCCACCTTTGTAAAATCATACACACACACACATGCATATACATATATATATGTAAAATTTGTCTTTTACAGAAGCAGAAACCTTGAGCTACATGCAAACACAAAGCTATAAAAAAAAACACACAACCCATGATATACACTTCTGAGACAGAATTAGGTGGCATTATTATTATTACAACACTAAGTAACAGTGTTTCAAATTTATATACATACTTTACTACTAGCCAAATGTAAGGGTGTGTTCAAGTCCTTATCCTTTACAGTTAGATCAGCTTGGGCACTGTTCACCAAAATATCTATAGAAAAAGCCAAATGAGAGTTAGACTACATGTAAACTACATGCATTTTGATGAAGTTACTATACGAATAATAGCATATGTAAAATAGTATAGCTCACATAATCACATTTGATGTTTTTAAAGAAAAAAGGAGCAATTCACTGTCATATTTGTTCTATCCAAATCCAAGGTCTATAGGCATTACTTTTCATTGTCTTTACAGTTTTGTCATTTTCAGGTGAAATGATTCTGTTATCATATTTGGTTTCTAATGTTGAAAGATTTCACTGCTGAAAGGTTGGTTCACTGTGACAAGGTCCAACCAATAATCCAATTTAGGGGACTGAAGATGATTAGCAAGTGAAATCAAATGGCTAAAATAAAATGTTGGTCTTTTTTTTTTTACAAATATTTACCAAGAGAATAACTGATGTCTTGATTTCATGTGACTGTGGTTTTAGATAGACCCAAATGTGAAGTCCACATGCCACGTATACATACCCACAGCGCCTGCCTGCCCGTTCTCAGCAGCCATCATCAATGCTGTTTTCCCTGAATTATCTGCTGCATTCACCTCAGCGCTGTGTCTCAGAAGAAGCTGCAGGCACTCCACGTGATCAGCAAAGGCTGCTGCATGAAGGGGTGTCCTACCAATTTAAAGCAAATATGCTTTTAGCTTCCTTTCAATTTAACACACTCTCTTTTCTGTAAATGCCCAAGAAACACACATGCTGTATTGTCTTAGCGTTTTACAACTTCTCAGTTTACAGAGAAAAAGATCAGGCCTCTCTAAAGGCCATTCGGGGTAGATACTGAACAGTCACCTCTGTGAATGGCACCCTCTAGATTCGGGGAGTATAGGTGGCGGTCCTGATAATGAAATCAGCATCTTTACTGATTACTCTTGAGTCTCCAGTGACTTTGCTCTCATCTTTGATAAAGATACTTTCTAAATTAGGTCTTAAATTTGAAGATAGGTGGCTATTTAAATAAAAAATAAAGGTCATGTCATCTAATGTGGATAGCTGACCTCTTTGGGAGGACAACTGACATTATATTTCAAAATTAAAAACTATTGACCTTTCAACCAAGTAATTCTACTTCTAGGACTTTATTTCCTTGGCCATCTGATTAGACACATCACTGCATCATGCTTTAAAACAGCAAAAACATTGGAAAACTAAACTGCATCACTCTTTGAAATAGCAAAATATTAGAAAAAACTTAACTCCTTTTCAACAGAGGGCAGGTTGATTAAATTATAGTACATCCATTCAATAGATCAATACGAAGCTTTTAGAAGAATATGGTGAGTCAATGTGTTCTGGTATAGAAAGAACTCCAAGATATACTAAAAGCAGAGCATTGCACAGAATGTTCCCTTTGCATAAATGAGTATATTCATATGTATTTTTATATATATTGTAGCTATATCTAGAAAATATTTGGGAGAATATAAAAATTTGGAAAGAACAATTTAAAGTGCTTTCTTAATGGAAGAGGCTGGGGTTTCTGGGCTAAGTGAGTAATTTCTTTTCATTATATACCCTTTATTATATTTAATTTTAAAAAGCCATGCTTATATATTACTTTTTCAATTAAAACAAACAAGTGTTTGGCTACTCTGCAACCACAAAGCAGAGACACAGGTTCATCAAGACAAGAGGCATGTTATCCTGGGATCACTTACCTGCCTTTGTCATCTCTACAATTGACAATACTGGAATCTATGGCCCCAAGAAGCAGTGATGCACAGTTCTCATGATCATTTATTCTAAAATGAAAATGGATTTTAAATGTTAAAATCTTCCTCTTTAAAAAATTATATATCCCCATCTATTCTATCTTCATGGGCACTGTATATTTCAAATTTAATGCATTTTTAAAATAATCTGATTCAAGTATCTATAGTCTATGTTCTGTTCAACTGATTCAATTAGACAATTTAGGTCATACATATAAACTTTATTTAAATTTCGTGAAGCAAGCATTCTCCACTCTCAAAAATTTGGAGAACTGCTTGCTTTCTGAAGTTTTAAATAAAGTTTATATCACTTAAATTGTCTTCTTTCATCATTTTAACAGTTTTGGCAATGAGGATAAGATCCGAAGCCGACTACTAACAGTCTACAGGATGAGACCCCCAGGCAAGGCCCCCACTGAACATTTTGGATTCACTGTTCTTGTGCGGACGTGGGCTGTGGGTAAGTCACTCTTGGATTTGAGCACTGCGCCCTTTCATGTAGCTCTCCAAACCAAACTATCAAACATTTTTTAGAGAAAGGGGGTTTATTAAAGTTTTCAGAAAGGTTTGGGGACCCGAGAAATGTTCCAAGACAGTTACACTAGGGAGCCCCTAGCAGATGGCGGCAGCTAAAGGAGTAACAGGCACCTGTGGTAAGCCCACGGGTGTGACCTTCTCTCAAGGGTTGTAGGTGAGTATATGCAGCCATTAGCCAGCTAACAAATGGTCTCCCTCCAGCAAGAACGATGAACCTGACATCATTTATGAACTATACACTGAGACCTGAAGAAGCAATGGCAACTGAGATTAACTTGCAGCACAATCTTTCTTCAAACCTCTTGCCTGGCCAGAAGTTGGCCAAAGGTGGGGGGATTGTCAAATTAGATCTCACATTAACCTTTGCTCTGGAGGCTGGGCATCACTAATCCTGGGAAACCACATCAGCAAAATGAAACTTAACTTTTAGATTTCTTGGAAATGTCACATCTGCTCATACGTCAGACTATCTAGGTAACCAATCCAATACCACCAAGTTATATGGGTGGTTGCTCTGTTACTATGCTACCTCAAATAAGGCCAGATATGTCATCCCAGCCAATCAGATATATTTATTCTTTCTCCTCTTGGTTCCCTATTCTTTATCATGTAAAAACTTACTGCCTTCTATCCTGCTTTGCAGTTCTCTGAGCTCTTGAAAGTGGAGACTGCCTGCTTAATGAAGTGTAAAGTTTGCTGGTATCACTTCCACTGTTTCCTTTTTTTTTTAAACAGTTCTAACAGCACAAACTCTATAAGTCTCAGCATTTCTTCAAAACCCCCACATTTGGGAAGGAGAGACTGCATACCACTTAATCAAGACTTCATGTTAGCTGTTCTGGGGATACCAAAGTGAAAAAGACATAGTTCCTTCAGATTTAAAATCACTCCTACTCTTTATCCCTTACCCCTTCTCTACTGATCTATGTTATACGTCTACTATCTTTTCAGTGAAATGACCCAGCTTCATGTGAAGCCCAGAGACCATGCAAAGACAAAGCACTCCCAAAGCTCACTGACATCCTGGCAGAATGCACCCAGGTGTGCACGGACCCCAGGTGAACATGGGCCACAGGTGGCCATGACCAACCCCTTCACCCTCTGGCTGACCTTGGAAGTCTGGCTTACAGGCACTGTCTTCTCTGCATAATGGTTCACACTATGACATTGCAGCAAAAATTACATTTCCCAAAAAAGAACTCACAACATATGAAGAATGCAGTATTACAATATATGGAAAGCCTTCCTGGTATAAAATGTCTTTCTAATCATCTATAGGCATACTGTTGTTAACCCCAACTTATTTTTAGAATGTGGCAGAGGTCTTCACAGGTTGTATAATATGCCTCTCAGTCCACCCCTTCATTAATCCTCCTAAGGGGGTATGTGAGCCACCTTGCAACAATGGCCCTCTGCAAAAAAACTCCTGGTAAACCATTAATATAAGGACCACGCTTTGCTATCAGACCTATTTGCCTTCAGCAGCACAATGAAAGATATTGGTCTTATCTGTAATCTAAAAGCATTTTTCCATCCCTAAAAGGCAATTTTTCTATGCATAGTTAAAAGAATTAAAGCAACACCATTAACGTCCAGGATCCTACTTACATTGCACAGTGCAGTGGAGTAAAGGGATTACCAATAAATTTGCGAAAACATTTTTGCTCCAAAAGTACCTCTATACAGTTTTCATTACCTGCAAGGAATCAAAAGATTTTAGGGAGTTTCCAAGAAAGAAGCTTTGTCCAACATAATCTATTTTTTTCATTAAGTATTGAACTCTGGCTTATTAATTTTTCTGAATTGGTTGAATGTTCACTCTCCAATGAATAAAAGCAACAAAATGCCAAAACGTTATCTACTATGCTCACAGATGTTCTCAGACATAATGAACAAATCAAACAGTGAAAGAAAGCCATATGGTCTGGTCAAGAAAAGAGAAAGAAAAGATCTCATTTGCAAGCAGAATAGATTCAACTCCTGATAGATAGATGCCTAATGTAAGTATGCCTAAGTTTGTCCATATTTACAATAGGAAATTTCCCTTTCAGACATATGAATAGGTTCACTTACAACTGTGCATCTTGCAAAAAATGGGAGAAGATGTGATTGACAGAAAGTACTTTTTGAGATAATGTCAATAAAGGGCTTTGACTATAAAATACTACGTAAGTGTTTAAAATGGCACCATGACCAATTCCTGGCAAATGGTATATGTTCAGTAAGTACTTTTTTCAATAAGTAGATGAATGAATATGAGGAAGTATTTTCAACAAAATGACAAGTAGCTTCTAAATCAACTAAATTTGAGTAAAGTAAGGCCCCAACTCTGTCAGCTTACTTGTTATGTGATCTTAGATGACTCACTCTGTATCTGTGACCCTCCGTTTCTCATAAACAAAAATTGGACTAGTAATATCTGCCCCACCTATGCCAGAGGATGATGGGAACTTTACTTGATGAAAGACCTAAATGTAGCCTGTGAAGCACCATACAATTGTTAAGGCAAGAAGGCAATGCTATTTGGCTTTGGAATATAGATTGTTGTCCTAGAGCATCTTCTGGGTTGACCTCAGTGCTAAATTAGAGTTCCCTTGTAATCTACCTCAGGATGGCACAGTCTGGACAATTTAAGGTTTAAAATACAAATCAAACCTTCCTTTCACCTGCCAAGAGAAAAGGGGGAACTGCTTTTAGGAGGATAGAGAAACACAGAAAGTCATGAATATAAAAATCCTCTAGCTTTCTCAAGCTACACTGTTTAGTTTTCCACTATACCCAACCCTTACTCAAGTTGTCCCAGATATTTCAGCCCTTCTCTTAGTATATATCCCCCAAAAGACTTAGCTTTGCATACCATTTATGCATACCATTCCTTGGAGACTATATCAATCCCAACCTAAGGGTCTCTGCAGGTAGGATATGGAAAGTAGTTGAAAAATACTTCCAGTATTTCAGAGTGCTCAGCAAAGGGAATTCTGGGAATATGGGGGTTTGAACCTCAGACCTGTAACACTGCACTAGAAGGGTAAATTGCTTGGCAGAGGACTGCTCTTCTACCCTGCTTGTACCTGGAGAGGCCTAAGAGCACAGACCTGCCATCCCCAGCCCACCCCACTCCAGGGGAGAGGATGTGGTCTGTGGTGGGTCTGCCACCACCATGATAATCAATACTCCTACTGTGTATTTTCCCCTTTCTGTGGGTTTCCCGGTGCCAGAGAGATCTCACACCTTGACCCAAGTGAGGGGTTGGAAGCCCTTACCCATTACTAGGCCCCCAACACTCTAAAATCTCAAACCTCCAATGGCAGGGAGGGCACAAAACTAGGCTGAATAAGTAGAAAATTTGGCTGTTCATTGAGCTCAGAACCAATGAAAAAAGGAGGAATGTAATGAAAACATCAAACGTCTTAAATCAATAGAATTAGAGCAGCTAAAAAAACTTTCTGGACCTAATAATATAGTTTCTGAGTGAAAATTGTAATAGAAGAATTGAAAATGGAAAAATAAAATCATATAGAAGCAGAGCAAGAAATACATGGGAAAATATCCATATAAACCTAGGGATGGAGACATTTTAAGCAAGACTGGAAACCTAGATATCACAAACGAGAAATCCTGCAGATTCAAGTACATGAAAGTTCAAAATCTCTGCATGGAAAAAAGAGATCCCAAAGAAAGAACAAAGACAAAGGTGTAGGCCGAGGGAAGGCATTTGCAGCTACATACAGAAGGTTCTCATCTTTAAGACAGGGTGCTCCTACAAATGTATGAGAAAACACAGACAACTCAATAGGAAAAAATGAGCACTGGATGGAAAGGTAATTTCCAGAAGAAAAAACACAAATACATAAACAGATACACTATTAAACAGGAAAATACAAGTAAAACAATAAGATAGCTTTTTTTGTCTTTCAAATTGAAAAAATAAAAAAGATATCATCTTGGCCTGCCAAAGGGTTGGAAAAATACGAAGTTTTACATATATGTTTGGTGGAGTAATAAATCATAATATTCTTTTTCAAAATAATACAGCATAATTTATTTAAAGTAAAAAAATATACCATCCTCTTTTTATCAATAATTTTATTTCTGAAAACTTATCTGACAGACTTTAAGATACCACAATATGAATATATACTGCAGCATTATTTATAATAGGACAAAAACCTGAAAACAATCTGATGTTTATCAATAGGGATCTGGTTGAATAAATGAAAAATTCTGGTATACACACTCACACACATCTATATGTATCTAGCTATCTGCTATGAAATATACAACTATTAAAAAAGATCAGTGTATATTGATACATCATGACTTATAAAGATATCTGCAAATGAATGTTAAGTAAACAATAACAAAAAGTTAAAAAGTGATATCTGTTAATTATTTTAGTCTTAAAAAACATGCTTCATGTAATTGTAGATTAATGATACCAAAATAAAATAAAATAAATAAATAAAAAAACAAAAAACATTCACATACATTTGTATTTATTTATATTTTCAAGGGAAAATTATGAAAGATACACACCAAGTTACATCAGAAAGTGAGTTTGGAAACAGAGACTTAATTTTACTTTAGACACTTCAGTATTTTTGAAATGTTACAATTTGCATGCATTTTCTGTTTTACTCAAGTGAAACAACAAATTTAAAATCTCAATAACAAACCCAACTTAATGGGAGATATTAGACATAAAAAAGAAATGCCAAAAATAAATCATACATCTACTAGTAGTCCATTGTGACTGACTGTTATATCATATTACATTTTTTGTTTTTAGCTGCATTACCTTCATTCCTTGTAGGATCTCTGGTTACCTATGTAGATCAGAAACCCTGATTAAAACTCGTTGTATCAGTTCATTAGTAGTTTTGATTCAGTTACATGTTACTGATTAACAAGAGGGGGAGGGTAAATTTTTTTTTAATGTTATCTTCAATACAGAAATATTGGAAACCATGGTTTATAACATTATGCTATGTTCTAACCTCCACTGACATCACAGTGGTGCTAGGGTGGGGAGTCCATTGGAAGCAGTCAAATAACAATCAACTCACCATTGTAACAAGCCCAGTGCAGTGGGGTGTAGCCCTGGTTATCTTTGAAAGAACAGTCATCCTCAGAAAGTGCCATCTGGAGCAGCTCACTTAGCCATGTGGCATGGCCCCGAGCAGCAGCATAGTGCAAGGGTGTCCTCCCTCTGGAATCTTTACAGAGAATCGACACTTCTTGTTCCAGCAGCATTTGCACACATTCTTCGTGTCCTGTCATAATCTGATGTATTTCAATTAAAGACACAAAACAATTCTCAGAAGGGCAGAAGACTCAGGAGGCTAAGTGAGGCTGGGCTCAGGGTAAGTGCACATACGCCTGAGCCTTAAGGGAAGTGGACTCTGTCCGCTTCAGAGGAGAGAGGCAGGATGAACCCAGCCAGATTCTTAACAGAAAAGTCCGTGTGAACACAGGCAGTTTAGAAACATCTCTGGTCTCTACAAACACAACCCTGAGAGGTATCATGATATAATGCAAAACATCAGCTTTAGAATCAGAAAGATGTGAATTAAATCTTGGCTCTCTCTTGTGAAACTTGGACAAGTCCATTTGCCTCTTTGTGCCTCATTTAATCCACCTGTCAACGGGGAGAATAATAATGATCTCATAGGTTGTTCTGAGAACTAATGAAATAAAGACTCCCAGTCTGTTCACAGCCTAGAGGTGTTCAGTAGCATGCCCAAATAGCAATTCTATGATTTCTGCTTTTGTTTCATTTACTTTATTTGACATGCTTTAAAAAACAATTTAGCAGATGTGTATAAAGAATTGTCCACAGGATACATATTTCAGGTGGACAACTGTCACATGATACATATTTCAGGGGAATGGGCCAAAATCTGTAATTATATCAATTAGAAAGAGCATGGCTACTCAAAACTAGGTAACAATTGGAGTAAATTCTGATATCTACACAAAATAATGAGCAGAAAAACATTTAGTGACATGGAAAAAGCTCCTTGATATACTACAGAAAAAAAGCAAGTTCCAAATAGCATCTCTGGTATTCTCTCTTTTTAAAATTTAAAACAAATCTATTTACAAAAAAAAAGATTGGTGATATTTATATCACAAAATGGTTATCTCCAGGAGGTAGGATTACTGGTGATGGTGATTTTCTTCTTTGTGCTTTTGAAAAATATTTTGCCAAAATTTTCTATGACAGACATGTACTCAGAAAGCAAAACCAATTCTAACAACAGTAGGTGTTCATGTATTTATTATCACAGTCTAACATGAAATGTCAAGAATAGGACCTAAGAGTAACTGCCATTATTTTACCCTTGCAAAAGATTTTGTAATTTCTTTTGACTGACTTGAGGTTAATTGGTTACCTTAGGAAACAATCCTTCTACTAAAAATTCATATGATGAAAGAGGAAACAAGTCACTACATAACTGCTTGACTAAAGCTGAGAAAGATGTCCATACCCCTCTGTGTAAAGCTGTACAGCCCGTGATGTCAACAGCATCTACGTTTGCTTCCTTTTCCAGTAACAACGAAACAGCATCAATGTGTCCATACGCTACTGCAAGCATCAGTGGGGTTCTAGAGAGAGATAAATTAGGCTTTTAAACAGCTTAAAAAAAAAACACCTCATACAACACTCCCTTGTCCTCTCCCTCTCTCTGTCTCTTTCTCTCTCAATCTGTCCTTCTCTTCCCCCAACAATCGCTTAATACTTTCCGAGCATCCCCAGTTTGCTATATGCTGTATTGGAACAAGCTATCTGCCTCTAATGGCCACATCGAATGATCAACATGGGTAGGACAGGGGAAGATGCCTTCTCAAAATGTTCATGTTTATCCCATTGTTTTCAAAACTATGTAGATATTAGATATTCAAAACATACTAGATGTCAGTTGAGTAGGGAGTGTGTGCATGTAAGAGACCCTCTTGCTTCTATCACCGCAACTCTTTCTTAGTTTTCTATGTTGGACTTCTGCTCAAGATTTTCTTTGAACGAAGTTTCATCGCTTTAAAGAAAAGTCTGATACGTCTAGAGGGAAAAGCTGGGACCCAGAGCTGGGACCCAGAAGGTGGGACCCAGAAGGTGGCTTCCACGCTAACTCATGTATCTGGGGTAAGTCACTAGTGTTTTCAGCTTTGCATTTCCTATTCATAAGAGAAACTGGGTGGGGGAAATGGGCTAACCGATGGAAAACACTTCGGAAAAACAAACTCAGGAAGGATAAAAATATAAAGGATTTTTGTGATAGAGATAACTTCTTGAGGTTTGTCTTACTGCCATTATTAATTTTTTAAAAAAGGGAAGGCAGCAGCTTCAGAAAAGGATAAATATGGATAGAATGTAGGAACAAATTAAAGGAAGGCCAGGACACAGGGCCACAGGCATGAAAAGCTGGTGATGGTGATTTCATTGCATGCCAGTCACGAGAGAATGCTAATTTAACGACGACACATTTCTCAGGGACAATACATATTAGAATTAGCTCACATTCAACGCCACCACTCAAATTGACTACAGGAATAACGCTCACATTTTGTAGACCACTGCATTCAGCTCATTCTCAGCAACCTTCCATTTATGTATCTCAGGAGGAAATTGTGTGGACTGGAGTAGAGACAATATATTGCTGTTGCTGTTCTGTTTTTGGTTTTAAAAATTACCTTAAATGTATTACCAGTGGTGAAATATGCATGGAGTTTAATGTATGCTTGAAAGGAAATGATTAGCAGAGGACTGACAGCTAAATACTACAGGCAAGGGTTTCATGAAAGTGGAGGTACATCGTATTTTGATTGATTCTTTTTTCTATACGTGTGTTTCTCGGGTATATACCTCTCTCCAGACTCTAGGGCTTTCAGCCAT